AAAACAAGAACTCAGAACAGCGATAATACCATGAACGTGCCCGAATACGATGACGAATGTTTTCCAGAGAAATGGAACAATGTACATGTTGCGCCCTACGCCGAGTCCCCTCAGAAAACTTCTGCTTCGCATTTCCAAAAAATATACGCGTTCGAATTGTGTGTGTCACAGTGAGAGTCTCATTTGACAGAACGGTTGGAAACAGCGGGCAGAGGTTAAGACGGAAACAATCAGCATACATTTCGTTGGACAAGTAAAAACAAGTTTACAGACCACAATGAAGACATTCACCGCAACGCAAAGCACGTGCCTCAGCCCTTCTGCTTCTGGCTGGTGAATCCCTGACAATAGCCGATGCCTCAGCTGAACGCAGCGTCGACTTATTCAGAAAGTCGCAGATTAAGACGACATTTTAGTCGCCAAAATTAGGCAGCTTACATGTAACAAGACTCAGGCATGGATTATTGTTAACGGCTTCACAATGAAGTGGAAGAGAGCGATACTTCTGTAATTTTTTCCAGAATGTTGTCACAGTCCGTTCTAAATATCCGACAATATCTGAGCATGTTACGTTGTAAACGAGAGAAGGATAACCAAGAATAAAGCTTTTATGCCGGGGCATATTAACAGGCCCATGCATTGCTCCCTGCCTTGCTCCAAAATGCGAAGGGAAACATTTATTCAGTCCACACTGGCCAAATGTATGAAAAAGAGCTCACGCGTGCTAATCCATATCACAGTTAAGTCTAACGCTCTAGCGACACACAATCGGGAGCAAAAGTGAATGTGAACTGAAGATTTAATAATTTTACACATGCCTTCATGAAACACGAGGTCAGTGAACATTGCAATCCATCGTTTTCAGGCCCGAGTGAAAAATTTTTATCCTAGTCCTATCGACATATCGGCTGCCAAATTTAGCCGAGGATTCATCCATGCGGCCGTGAGTCTATAAATAAGCTAGTCGCATGCAGTGTAATGCACTAAGTGCAATGCGGCTATGATCTGACGCATTGCTCTCAAGATACGGGCGCTTGACCCTCCTTTGGGTGGGACCTCAATTGCTGATGCTCGTCACTTGTGCATATTACTTGTTTAAACGAAAGTGAAAGTAAGCGGTGATTAACTTAACAATCAGCTGTTCTGATTATGCGCGTAGGCATGGCGAATTCTTAAATGTGCGACAGCCGTGAAGCTCGATAGAGGCCTTTTTGCTCTCTACCTACCTTACCTAATATAACTTGCACCCACCAAAGAAACACCTTATAAAACAATACGGGAAAAACCGAGTTCAGCCAAATTTCAAGCACTTCCCAATTTTGTATGGGCCGAATGATTATGACAAAAATGGAAAATCATGGGAATCCGGATGCATGAGGATGAACTCATGTTTCATCGTGATCATCACCTGAAGAGGCGATAACATAATGGCGCAAAAAAAGTTTCTTCTAACGTAGTCATTAAAAAAAGCTTTGGAACAGTTCGTTTCGATGCTACGTGCCTCAGACAAACACAGTCCAGGGGCACCAGGGGCACCAGGGGCACGACGTTAAATAAACGCCTGTTGAGGAATAAACCGGCATCCGAATCCGAACGAAGACCGCTTGTGCCTCACGTGGCTTCTTGACACAGCTGTCCGCAGAGTCACCTATTCAGATGGAGTCATAGCTGATAAGCTCTGTTCATTAGACTTTTCATCGTTTGCCTCAGCGACGTCAAAGAGCAGAAAGAATGCCTCGATGAGGTAGCAACACGAAACGTCGTGAAGACGTTGGCGAGATATCGCCAAAAACGTCACCACTGTCTGGCCGATTTCAACAGGTCCGTTTCTTGCCTGTGGCGAAAAAGCTAAGCAATGTTAAATCCTCATTAGCCTGCAATAAGCAACCAATAATTGGTAAAGCATCACTTGAGGTCACGTGAACACCCACCAAAATTCACAGTCACTGTCGTCGTCCGAAACGTCGATCGTCAGTCACAGTCACAGTCTGAAGGACAGTCCGAGAACACGACGGCCTTCGTCGTTGCGCAAATACGGTTGCAACGTAGATCGAACGTAACCTACCACTATTCGACCGCACACTCAGTGCCGGAGGCGACGGGTGATCCACATCGGTCAGTGTTTCACCATTCGGCTCGCTCGAAATCGCCGAAAGGCACTCATCAGACTGAGGACAGAACGCCCTGAAAATTAAATATATACTTATGCATCACATGACACTTACTCAAGTTGCAAAAACCGCCATCCGAACAAAACTCACATGAATGAGTCTAAATTCAAACCTACTGTATTTTTCGGACCATAAGGCGCACTTAAAATCCTTATATTTGCAGAAAAAATCGCCACTGCGCCCTAGAGTCCGGTGCGCCTTATATATGAATTTTGGCCTGAATCCTTCATACAAAAGATGCTCCTT